TAATTTTCATATGAAGAGCCTGATCTAGAAGATAAAATTCAAAACTGTGAGGGCAAGGCCAGTTGTCCTTAACTCTCATACTTTCCATACTGTAACTGTGTTAATTCGCCAGTTGTAGTTCAAGTTTTCCTACCTTAGTCTTGGGTCCCACTGATGTTTCTTTTCTTTTAAGAAGCAAAGTCTTAATATGTTGTCCAAGCTGGTGCTGAAATCCTTGTTCAAGCAATTTTTTTTTTTTTTTTTTTTTTTGCCTCAGTCTCCAGAATTACAGACACACACCTCCATGGTTCCCTCAAAGATTTCTGTTCTTGGGGTTCTCCTCCAGTAAGTTGTGATTCTCTTTGACCATTTGCCTTGTCAATTTTAGGGACAGAGTGCCCTGTGACCTCAGTTCCCTGATGGATTCCAAGAAGAATTGTTGATTTTCAGTTGTTTAGCTTATTTTCTTATTGTGTGGATGACAGTGACTTCCAATCTTCTTACATGCCAGAATTCAAAATTTTAATAGGTTGTACTTTCATTCATTATTCATTTCAAAATGTTTTTATGTCTCTTATGCTTCTTTTTTTTTATATCTTTAAGTATATTAATTTCCAGATAGTTCAGGGCATTCCCTTTATTTCATTCCATTGTGGTCAGCAGATATACTCAATATTTCAATTTTGTTCAGTTTTTGAGACTTGTTTTATAGCCTAGCATGGGTCTGCCTTCGTGTGTGTGTGTGTGTGTGTGTGTGTGTGTGTGTGTTTTGCTGGGGTTTGAATCCAGGGCCTCATGTATGTTAGGCAAGCAATCTATCACAAGTCACCTCCCCAGCCCCTAGAACTGCCTTGATATCTTTCAGTCATTGACAAATAAGATGGTTGATAGTATTTTCAGATCTTTATTTTTACTGAAATTTTCTAATCTATCAATTGCTGAGAGTGTTAGACACCTCCAACTCTGAATTTGCTTCAATTCTGTCTATTAAGTTAGTAAAAATTTTTTTAAGGTACTGGGAATTGAGCCCCAAGGGTGCTTTCACTGAGCCACATCCCCAGCCTTTTTTTTGACAGGGTCTCACTAAATTGCCGAGATTGACCTAGAAATTGAAAATCCTCTTGTCTCAGCCTCCTGAATGGCTGGGATTACAGGTGAATACACAATAAGCATAGCTAATTCACACTTTTTTATGACTGTATATCTTCTTGATGAATTAAATCTTTGGTCTAGAAACGCTCAACATTATCTCCATTAATACTGTGTATCTTGAAGTTCACTTTATTTGCTGTTTATAGGGACATTCCATTCTTTTAAAACTTTATTTTAATTTTTTTAGTTGTAGTTGGCCACAGTACCTCCATTTTATATATTTATTTATTGTTTGTTTGTTTATTTCCCAAACATCCAAGTTTTCCTCTGTACTATTTCCCTTTAGCCGGAAATTTAAAAAATGAAAAAAAAAAATTGTAGTGTCCTTCTGCTGTTAGTGAATTCTCTCAGTTTTCACTGTTTTGGAAAAATGTTCATTTTGTTCTTTTATGTTGTTGCTGGGGATTAAACCAGGTCTTGTGCACACTAAGCATAAATTCTACCATTGAGTTATGCTCCCATTTTTTTTTTTCTTTTCCTTTTTTTTGGTTGTAATGCTTGGATTGAACCCAGTCAGAGCCTCAAACATGCTATACTCTATCACTAACTACATACCTAGTTTCAAACTCTTGGATTCAGATGATCCTCCTGTCTCAGCCTTCCAAATAAATCGGGACTGCAGACATATACCACTGCTATCTGGTTTGGTTGGTTTGTTTGTTTTGCGGGGTGGGGTGTGGGGTGATTGAATTCAGTGGCACTCAACCCCTGAGCCACATCTCCAGCCCTTTTTCGTATTTTATTTAGACACAGAGTCTTACTGAGTTGCTTAGCACCTCGCTTTTGCTGAGGTTGGATTTGAATTTGTGGTCCCCTGCCTCAGCCTCCCAAGGCCTGTTATCTGTTCTTGAAAATTATTTCCTTGGATGTAATTCTGGGTTGACAGGTGTGGGTTGTTGTTTGTTCTTTCCCTTTAATTTCAGCATTTTAAAGATATCTCCCTCTGTCTTCTGTTTTCTACTGTTTCTGATTTGAAAGTCAGCATTTGTTTGTACCCTTGTATCTTCATTTTTTCTTCTTCTTTTTTTTTTTTTTTTTTTGCAGTATGCAGGATCTACCACTGGATTACCTCTCTTTTTATTTTGAGATAGGGTCTTGCTAAATTGCCTAGGGTGGCGTCAAATTTGTGCTCCTCCTGCCTCAGCCTTCCTCTAATCCCAGATCACTGGGATTACAGGCATGCCCCATTGTTCCGATTCACTTGTTTATCTTAAATGTTATTTCTCTTTGGTTCTTTTAAAAATTTATCATTCTCATCTTTGATTTTTAGTAGTTTGACTGTAATAGCCTGGTTGTGGGTTACTTTGCATTTGGATTCTCAACGGCTCTTGAATATGTAAATTGATGCCTTTAACCAAATTTGGAGTATTTTTTGTAATGTTTTCTGTTCCATTTGCTCCTCTTCTGCTGGAACTCAAATGTATTGTTTTTATGACAGTTCTCTGAGTTCTTGTTCATTTTTCCCATCTCCTTCAGATTAGGTAAATTTATCTTAATCTTTCTTCAGGTTCTCATACTGTCATTAACATACTCTATACCCATCCTTGAATTTTTTGTTTTTGTATTTTGTAAGTTTTTGTATTTTTCAATTCCAGGATGTTTCTTTATTTTTTAATTAGTTTCTGTTTCTTGAGATTGTCTAGTTGTTTGTTTGTTTTTTAAATATTTTTCAGCTGTAGATGGATACAATATCTAAAATTTTTACATGGTGCTGAGGATCAAACCCAGTGCCTCACAATGTGCTACAAGCAATCTACCACTGAACTACAGCCCCAACCCTCAGTCATTTGTTCTTTATGAACATAATTCCTTTATATCCATTAGCATCATTGAATAATTGCATTGAAATCAATCTGCTAAACCCAAATCTGTTTCATCTTGTGGTGGCTCTCCATTAGTTGTCTTTTGAGTACTGAAATTTGTTTTATCTATTTAGATCTGCTAATTTTGGATTATATCCCAGACATTGTAAATGATACTTGTAGTGTATGGATTCTGTTATGCTCCTCCTGAGAGTGTTGATTTTTACAGTTTTGTTTTGACAGATGGTTAATCTGACTGAATTCAAACCCTAAACTCTGTCTCCCTTGCAGAAGACAGCAATTAAAATATTTATTAATTTCTTATGCATAAATACAGTATTGCTTAGAGCCTATGTGAACGTATAGTTTCAGTGATTCACCAGAGATTTGATTAGAGTTTATATGCATATTTGGGATTGCTTCCTCTTAGGCCTTCTCCTTTTTAGAATTAACCTCTTGCCTTGTAGCTGCTGTGGTTGTCTCAAACTTCTCTTACCTTTGATTTTTCAAGCCAGCAAAACTTTGGGCTTCTATGTGAGTTTCAGTTGCGCCTTTCTCCTATTGTGGTACCCGCTCAGTGAGGCATAATCTCAGGCCACAATCTATGAATAAAAAAAATCACTAGGACCTTTCCTCCTTCAAAGTGTCAGTTCCTCCTTAATTTTTACTTTGGTCATTCCATAGTACCTCCAGGTAATTGTTTTATAGTATGTTGCCCTGGGAGAGGAGATTTGATGGGACAACTTAGTCAATATAAGAAGTGGAAATTGGGCTGGGTTTGTGGCTCAGAGGTAGTGTGCTTGCCTAGCCTGTGAGAGGCACTGGGTTCGATCCTCAGCAACACTTAAAAATAAAGATATTGTGTCCACCTATAACTAAAAAATAAATATTAAAACAAGTGGAAAGGATTACATGTAGTTGCTTCAAAACAACAGAATGATAGTTACTATTTGTATGGCATTTTTTTAATTATAAAAGAAATTTAATATAGATTATCTGATTTATAATGATTATTAATGAAAGTGTTGTACTTTTGGCCAAAAAACCTGGGCAGGAAATTTGAAGCCTAATTTTTAAATATTTATTTTTTTACTTATAGGTGGGCACAATGTCTTTTATTTTATTTTCATGTGGTGCTAAGGATTGAACCCAGGGCCTCACGCATGGTAGGCGAGCGTTCTACCTCTGAGCCACAACCCCAGCCCTTGAAGCCTAAATTAAGCATAATTATATGAAAAAATTATATGATTGCTAAAAGCAAGAAATGAGGAGGAAGATAGTTGAAACTTAAAGATATGGTTAGGAATAGAAGAATTTTGTGTCTTTGGGGGAGAAATGATACTGTTACCAGGTAGACAAGAGATGAAGAATAAGTATAAAGTACTATTTTTTTGCTATATGATTCTTTTGGTTCTTTAAATTTCAACTTAAGCTTCTTTGTATGACCATTTTTCTCTGTCCATTTTAAACTAGTATTATAGTTTACCACCTTTCCCCAACTCTCATTCTTTCATATAGGACCCTTGTTTTTATTATTGCTTTTATTCTAAAAACTCTTATTTCATAATCAATAAAATACTTATAATTTGACATTTTGAAAATAAATTTGGTTTCTCTTTGTTCACTACACAGTAAGGTCCATAGGGATCAGAACCATATTTTTGTATGCCTAGCTCTTAAGAGTATTTGTTGTAAATCAATTGATGTGTAACTGATGTGATTCTGCAATCTGTGTATGGGGTGAAGGTGGGAGTTCATAACCCACTTGAATCAAAGTGTGGAATATGATATGTCAAGAAATTTGTAATGTTTTGAACAACCCACAATAAAAAATTTAAAAAAAAAAGTATTTGAAAATGAAATGAATGAATGAATGAAATCTAGAGAAACATGTACACACATGAGTACCAAGGAATGCAGAGAGATACAAACATATATTGTTTGTTCATTTGCTTTTTGTTTTAGTTTTTTTTTTTTTTTTTTTGTCACCTTAATCTGGAAGGAGGTGATGGGTATGAATTTAAGAAAGTCATTAAGGGAATGTTTTTTTTTGTTGTTGTTGGAAAAAAGAAAGTATATTTAGAATTAGACAGCTGGACTTTGTTTAGATGATCCCAATTTTGTTGTCAACGTCCAAAGCATCATAATCAGGAGCCAGTCGAACATATGCCTTTTTCTCTCCATCAGGCCTGATCAGGGTGTTAACCTTGGCCTCATCAATGTCATAGAGCTTTACAGCTTGTTTGATCTGGTGTTTGTTTGCCTTGACATCCACAATAAACACAAGTGTGTTGTTGTCTTCAATCTTCTTCATGGCTGACTCAGTGGTCAGAGGGAATTTGATGATGGCATAATGGTCAAGCTTGTTTCTCCTGGGGGCGCTCTTCCAATGATATTTGGGCTGCCTCCGGAGCCGCAATGTCTTGGGTCGCCGGAAGATAGGTGACATGCGGATCTTCTTCTTTTTATGACTGTGGACACCCTTCAACACTGCTTTCTTGGCTTTCAAAGCTTTTGCTTTGGCTTCAGCTTTGGGAGGAGCAGGAGCTTCCTTCTTAGCTTTCGGCGCCATCTTGGTGAAAAAAAAAGGAGGGAAAGTTTTAAATCGGGGTGAGGAAAAAATTTACAAGAGATTTGGGAAAATCAGTAAAATAACAAAGGCAAGAGTCAATGAATTACTTTGTAGATTAGTAATTAAATAGGGTTTTTTGTTTTTAAATTTTTTTTTAGTTGTAGATGGACACAATATGTTTATTTTAAATTTATTCTTATGTTATGCTGAGGATCAAACCCAGTGCCTCATACTTGCAGGCCAAACACTCTGTCACTGAGCTGCAACCCCAATCCCCTAACTAGGATTTTTGTTTTTTTATTTCTTGCAGTGCTGGGATCAAACCCAGAATCTTGAATATGGTAGGCAAATGCTCTACCATTTAGCTATGTCCCCACCCATTCTTTTTCTTCTTTATTTCTTCTTTATTATGGAATACTATAAGATATTGGTTTTATGCTAGGCAGAATTATGGGGCTCCCCTCCTCCCAAATGAATTAGGATGTGGTCTTGAGTAGTGAGACACTTGAAACATGGAAATGAGTGGTGAAAAGCAATCAAGTACTTTTAGTTCCTTTTTGCTACTGGGTTTTAGCATTCCAGGTTTTAGCAATCAAGTACTTATAGTTCCTTTTTGCTACTGGGTTTTAGCATTCCTAGCACATGATAGGAAGCATGTTAAAAGCAAGAACAATTATTTATAGGTTATTATACTCAGTTTTCTTAGTGTTGAAACTTGCTTGTCTTGACAGCTCTTGGATAAGCATAAGAACACAGAGAGCATGGTGGAGCTTCTGGACTTATATCAGATGGAGGATGAAGCCTATAGCAGCCTTGCAGAAGCAACAACTGAACTCTATCAGTATTTACTGCAGCCATTCCGAGACATGAGAGAACTTGCCATGCTACGAAGACAGCAGATCAAGGTAGTCTTTTAAACACTAAATAGTAGTTTACCTACTTTCATTGTTCTCAGCCTGGCTAGCTATGCCTTTCTTCTTCTTCTTCTTCTTCTCCTTCTTCTCCTCCTCCTCCTCCTCCTCCCCCTCCTCCCCCCTCTCCTCCTCCTCCTCCCCCCCCCCCCCCCCCTCCCTCCTCCCCCCCCCTCTCTCCTCCTCCTCCTCCCCCCCTCTCTCCTCCTCCCCTCTCTTCTCCTCCCCTCCTTTTTTCTCCTTTTGATACTGGGAATTGAACCCAGAGCTTCTCCATGCTAGGCAAGTACTCTATTACTCAGTTACATTCCCAGCCCCTTATTAGAAAATATTTTTTTTTTGAAACAGGGTCTCACTAAGTTTTCTAGATTGGTCACAAACTTGTGATCCTCCTGCCTCAGAACCCCCAAGTAGCTGGTTTTAGTGGTTGAGTGCCCCTGAGTTCAAAATAATACGGTACCAAAATAATAATAATATAGACAAATACTTCTTCTTTCTCTTGGTTTTGGTCTAGCCTTAGCATTTCATTTTAAAGTGTCTCAAAAGGTAATTCTAATGAGTAGCTAACATTTAGAACAGCCTAAAAAGAAATATGTTCTTTTTAAAAAAAAAATATATATATATTTAGTTGTAGATAAACACAGTATCTTTAATTATTTTTATATGGTGCTGAGGATCAAACCCAGTGCCTCACACATTCGAGGCAGGCACTTGACCACTGAGCTATAGCCCTAGCCCAGAAATACATTCTTGTTAAAGTACAAAGTTGTAAATACATTGGAAGTTTCCCATCTCCCTCCTCTACCTCTGTCGCCCTTTAATGTTTTGTGTCCTGTATAGTTCTGAATTTCTTTACTAGAAGTCTGGGTAACATTTCTTTAGGGAATAGTGGTTTAATGGTAGTGTTAAAATTCATTACATTAAGTTTTCATTCATGAAGAAATATGTATTACATTTTCTGAGCAAGTATTAAGGGTTTGGTTTTATAGCTGACCACATGTTAGTGTTACTGTGTTTAATCCACATGGAAGTGTTGCTGAACTGGGACATTAAAATTGTGTTTTATATAATGGGTTAAGTAAGAACATTACATAAGAATGTGTGTACGAGAAAATTATCAGTAACTCCGAGAACTTCATGCTTTGTGGCAGGGATTCTTAGTAGGATGGTTAAAAAAGTTTGAGAAGGTAAAGCATGTCTTTCTCCCCCTTTACTAATAAATCAGGATAGAAATTAATACAAATACATTTGACACAACCCTTTATTTTAACATTCTGAAAAATATTGAGTTGTCAGTCAATTTTATCCTAAACTTGGCTCTTGGATTAAAATGGTAAAAAGAAACTAAGAATTTTTGGAAGTTGGAATATCCTCAGCTTTACAAAATGAACTATAGATATTTGTCTGTTGAAAATCCGATTGGAAGGCCAGGAATGAACTGGATGACTTGGATATCCCACCTGCTGTTAAGAGACTACTGCAGTTGTTCAGCCAGTATCATACTCCCATTCAGTATTGAGTACCCAGAATCTATATGCATTCTTAGTTTTATATTATTTCATACTTTAGAAAATTTGACAGCATGGACTTGTGAGGCTGTATCTGCCAATATCATCACTTATTGCTCCCTTTTTCCTGGGAAGCAGAGTGTAGGTAAGGAAAAACAGACAACATACTTTTAAAATTTGTGACATTTTTAAAGATAAAAATGATATTTTCCTGCATTTCTTTTTCTGAGATTTGACCCTCAGATGTCCCATCAACTATGACTACTCTATTTTTTTTAGCATGTTAAGTGGTGCTGTTAACTAGTTAATTTTCACAATAACCCTATAAATTAGATGATTTTTCTGCTTTTTAGATAAGAAAACTAACATTGGGATGATTTGGTTTTGTTTGTATCTAGTTAGTGAGTAGAAGAGTTGATTCAGTACTCAAAATCAGGTGTCTGTAATTCCAAATAATTTATTTTTCTAATTACATTACTGATTACTCATTACTTTTACGTTAGAAAATCCATACTCACTAGAGAAGCAATTATAATTGATTTGGCAAGGTATTTGTGTTTACATAGTTACACAGAAAATATGTAGTGTCATAGAAATATTTTGGTGCTTCTGAAGGTTATTTGCAGCTAATTGAAGTCATGATTTCTGTGTTTTTAAATGTATTTGTGTTACTAAGCCAGGCTAGCTATATCAATAAAAGGATCTTGCTGGCACAGTCTTCTAGGTTAAGTAAATCTTAATGAAATAAGATATGTTCAGTAAATTTTGTGTTTAAGTATGAAAATCACTGCCTAAAATTGAGTAAGAAGCATGTTTCACCCTGATCTATTGGTAGGATATGTGTTGGGTGCACTGAGATAATTGTTAGTTGAAAAGCCTTGAAGTAACGGTGCAGTGGCTTGCAGTTGTAATCCAGCAGCTTCAGAATAAGACAGGAGGAACGCAAGTTTGAGGCCTGCCTCAGCAACTTAGTGAGACTGTCTCAAAATGAGATAAAAGGGGCTGGGGGTTAGGTCAGTAGTATAAAGCACTTCTGGGTTCAGTTCACAGAAATGCACACATGTGTGTGTGCCCATGTGCACGTGCGCGTGCCCATGTGCATGTGCGCGCACACACACAATGCGCACACACAAACCTTGAAGTAGGAAAAGTATTTGAATGTATATCATTTGTGGTATCATTAATGTTGAAATAATTCTAGTGGTATATTATTTTCTTATGTTTCTTAAGATTTGTGTGGAATTGATGGCATTATAAAAGCTTTTTTCCCTAATCATTAGTCTGCAGTGATTTTGATTAGATTGCTGTTCTACCCATGTCCCATAAATGATTGCCTTATGTGGAGCCTAATAGTCTAGTGAAGACTGATTTCTGGGAGGATGCTTTGTGTTTTGTTGTTGTTGTTGTGTGGTGCGAGGAATTGAACTCAGTCTTACATATGCTAGGCAAGTGCTTTAACAGGGAACCACATGCCTAGCACCTTTTTCTTTTTCTTTTTTTCACTTTTTTTTGACTGTTCATTTCCTATCTCCATCTTTTGGGAAAGGGAACAATCTTAGACCTATGAAATCTTAATCTGAATCATTGACAAGATATCAAAGAGTGAAGGTAAATCTGTATTTGTAGAGAAATTTATGGCTTTAAGTACTTAACATTAGATGAAGAAGGATCTAAAATCAATGACTGAAACTTCTACCTTATGAAACTGGAAAATCAGCTGAGCATGGTGACACATGAGGCTGAGAAAGGAGGATGGCAATTTTGATGCTGTTCTTAAAATTTTAAAAATAGAGTTAGGTAGTGAAGTGGTAGCGCACCCTTGGATCCAATCCCCAGCACTGCAAAAAAAAAAAAAGTTAAATAAAAGTGAAAAAAATAAGTTGAAATCAATGCAAAAGGAGCAATTAGTAAATAAAAATCAGTGAAACCAAAACCTGGTTATGTAAAAAATACGTATTTCAATATATTTTAGAAACCTAATTGAATTGATTAAACAAAAATCAGTATATTTCTACAGATAAACAGAATATAAAAAAACTTGTGCCAACAAATTCTACAGTTTAGATGAAATGGACACACTTCATAGAAAAATATGAATTATCAAAACGGATTTCAAGAAGACAGAAATTTTGGTAGTCCTGTATTTGTTAGTAAAATTGAGTTCATAATTTAACACCTTTACACAAAGAAAACTCCAGGTTCAGATGACATCATTAGAGGATTCTGTCAAACAGTGGAAGAAGAAATAATACCAATTCTACACAAACTTTTAATTAATTAATTAAATTTTTTATTAGAGCTTTATTGTTATAACTAGTAGTTAGGTTTATCCCAATAAATTCATACAAGCATGAAAATGGATCTCTTTTCATGTTCTTCCCCATTCTCTTCCTTTTCCCTCCCGTCCTTCCCCTACTGCTCCTTCCCCTAGTCTACTGGACTCCTTTCACTGTCTATTAATTTATATTTGGTTCCTTATATTATCTTATCCTCCTTGCCCCTCTTCCTTTATTTTACCCTAGCCTCCACATATGAGAAAACATTTGACCTTTGAGTTTCTGAGTTTGGCTAGTTTCACTTACCAAGATATTCCTCATTTCCTTCTATTTCCTGGCAAATGCCATAATTTCATTCTTTCTACTGGATGAGTAGAATTCCTGTGTGTGTGTGTGTGTATCACAATTTCTTAATGCATTCATTTATTGATGGGCACCTGGATTGATTCCATAATTTAGCTATTGTGAATTGTGTTTACTAATTCTTTTAGAAAATAAAAGCTGAGAGAATATTCCCCATCTCATTTTATCTGGCCAGCATTTAGCCTCATGCTAAATTCAAATGAAGACAGAAAAGAAAACTACAGATAAATCTCTCCATGAATACACTATTTTTTTTTAACATTCTTTTTTAGTTGTTGGTAGACCTTTATTTATTTATATGCAGTTTTGAGAATCCAAGTCAGTGCCTCGCACCTGCCAGCCCCAGCCCAGAATATATTGTTTTTAATCCTGAACATAAAACAAGGAAATAGGGTCCATTAATCTATAAAAATGATGATATGCTGTGATCAAGAGGGATTTTTCTCAGAAATGCAAGAATGGTTTAATATTAAAAAATAAGCCAATGTAAATTACCATATTATCATAATTATCCAAATGAAGGGGGAAAACACTATATATCCTTTCTACAGATGCAGACAAGTGTTTGGCAAAGTTCAGTACTCATTTATGATAAAACTCAACAAACGAAGAAGAGCGAACTTTCTCACCCTGATAGAGGGCATATATAAAACATCTATAGTTATACCTAATAGTGAATGACTGAATTCTTTGCCTTAATATTGAAAACAAGGTGAGATTGATTAGTTTATCCATTTTTGGATGGTAGTAGTACTAGTAATCAAACATAGCGCCTTGCACATGCTAGCCAAGCACTCTATCACTGATCCACACTCCATCTCCAACTTTTCTTCACTTTTATTCTGTA